GGAAAACCTTGTTTGGTGAGAATATCCAGATCCGGCCAAGAGATGGTTACTCAAGCTTGGGCTGTGTGGGCGGACGATTGCAATGAATCTGAGAGCTCTGCGGTTATGACGGACGAAAGCGCTTGCGACTGAAAATGGAGTTCTCGTGCACTTTGTTATTTTGTCCTCGCTTTCGTGAGGGACTTAGGATTGAGTCTGGCGCGATGATGGCAGGGGTGTGTGTCCTGGCCAGGTCGACGTTCTGGCCTGGCCTGGGCGTCTCTCGGTGCTCTGGTGCTTCCGAGGTCGGGCTTCGATTGCGGGTATTGGGTATGCTTATACGAAGCGAGGCGTCTTTCGGAAACGTGGCGTTGAATCTCCTTTTTATTTTTTTCTCTTTGTGGGGAAGAGTTTGACGCGGGGGTTATGGATTGCAGAGAACTGGTGTGGGTACTGCGTACGGGTCAATGGCGTTCGCGGCGACACCAGGCGCGTGATGATGCCTTTGAGGAAGGTTTATGATCAGGGGGCGTACGAGTAGTTGGAATGGTAGTAGATAGGAGACTAGGCAAGTGATGTGCCGTCCGGACCGTCATTTGGGATTGTCGATGTTGACGTTGTCGACGCTGCTGAAGTTGGCAAAACCCAAATACCTGCAACAGACGATTTTCAAGGCGCGTTGTCTCTCCCACACTCACTCTCACTAGCAGTGGAGTCGCGGAAAGTCGCGTAGGCGTATCGTTGTCACGTCCCTCGTCGAAGCTTCAGGTTCCATCCGGAGCGGAGTTGAATTGAGTTCTCGTGGCGCGAAGACGTTGAGCGAAACACCGTTGCCTCCCTTTTTCTCTCTCTATCGTTTGCTGGTTCGTCTGCTTTTGTTGGGTGCGTCGAAATGCGCGCTAGAATCGCAAGAACACCGCGAGTTTTGCGTTGCGTTGCTTTTTTTTCCCCCTTTTGGGGGCGGGGCGGGGCTCTGATATTTTCAGTTTCTCTCTGTGCCCACTCTCTGCCCTCTCGAAGAAATAGAATTCCTTTATATATATAAATAACGCGGGTATTTGTTTTGGTCTCCTTTCTGTCCCTCCCGGTCTCTCACTATGTTTTGCGGTTTCGCGCTGCTTGGCGTTGATGGTGGCGGAGATGGCGTCACTGAGGGGGAGAGAGTTGGGTTTTAGAGCAATGAGCTGGGCTTTTTTGCGCTGCGTTGCGTTCTGTTTGGGCGACCTGAGAAGAGACACTTTCTTCCTCTTTTTGTTTTTTTAGTTGTGCCCCCTTCTTCCTTCTTTTGCATTGGGAAGGTACAGTATGTGCAATGCGGTGCAGTACAGTACAGTACGTGAAGGTGGACGTGATCCTGGGCAAATGTTCCCTTTATGTGGTTTTCCTTCCGGGTCCTTTTGGGGGTCGGTGGAAAGAAAAAAATGCGGGCACGCGGGTCCTCGCTTTTTAGCCCACTCCGTCTCTCTGTTTCTCTCTCGCGTGCTCGTTGTCCGTGTCCCCTCTTTTCCTCTTTTGTTTCCTTTTCTCGCGTTGGCCGAGTCCCCCTGCTGAGGAAGCTACCAAGAGACTTGAACGGGAGGTGGGATAAGGATATAGAGGTATAAATATGGCACAATGTAAAGTAAATCAATAAGATTCTATGCTATGCAGAAGGACGGCGAATAAAATAAAAGGGACATGGACGAGCGGAGGCGGGTGAGATAGAAGTTGGCGGGGGAGGAGAAAAGAAAATGAGATTTGCTTTTCAGTTTTCCTCCCTCTCCCTAGCCGAATATGTTGAAGCTGCTGTGGCTGTTCATGTCGATTTTCTGTTTTTTGGTTATAAATGGTAAAAGGAAGTCGCAACCAGAAGTTGTGCCTGTTCTGGGAGGAATTGCCCGAGTAAAAACCACAGAGAATAATAATAATAATAATAACTTGAATCTAGTGAGGCACGGAGCAAAAGGCCAGAATGAAATTCTCCGATCGTGTCATCGTAAGCGTGGACTCGCAAATTTCGTTCGAAAGGGTAAATTAATGAGAAGGAGGACTCAGGCCGTCATTGCGACAATGCTTTTCTGTGGAAGCCGGTGTAGCAAAAAGTAATATGTATCAGTGGCGGCGGTGGTGGTATGAGAAGGACGGGGAGCCCCGAGGTGGAGCAATCAAACTGGTGACAGGAGTCCATCTGCGACGTGAGCACGAAAAGTCATACCCCGTTCAGCAGGACTCAAGGGCAAGGAGCTCACGCAAAGAGGCGGGCAGGCAGAATGGCATCATACGACAGTAGTGCCCATTGTCGTGCCCTCTGCTTAGGCGGTGCCGTATGAGGCATGAGAGTCGTTGATCTCCAGGACTCGGCCATCTGCAAGCTGGAAAGACACAAACAGGGAAAGGACTACGGACTGGACCAATGTCATTCGTCAATATAATGAACGAAACGACTTACCGTTTGTGAGCTGGTCCGCCCAAGAGAAATTGCGTGCGAGAGACAGTAGTGGAATGACCACACGGATCCGCTGGGTTCGAGTTTGAGAGCCTGAGGGGGAGGTTTTCCTGAGCAGATGCCAATGGGCTGCATTGTGCGGGTGGAGAATGGATGGTTGGAGTCGGAGGCGCAGCCGTGCAAGTTTTGCAGAATGTAGAAATGCTGGATCCGGGTTGCCGATTGTGGAGTCGCCCTTCTTCCCATGGCAGCGGAGGGAAGGGATTTCTTTGCATTTAAATGCAGCTTTGTCCCTCCCTGCCTGACCCCGATGAGCGGGACGTTAGAGAAAAGTCAAAACCAATGCCTCCTTCTGAAGGGGCGGGTTTATCAGGGAGTGTGAGCCTGGCAGGGCTGTATTTTGCTAGAGCCCGCTGTAATGGTGGGATCTGGCCGTCACGCTCAAAGATCTTGGTCAATGTGTGCCGAAGAGATATAATTCATATTTCAACCGCAGGCTATGCAGGGAGTGCCTGAAAGCGGCAAGGTGTAAGAGTTTATGTAATTGTAGTGGATGGATGTATCCAAAGATATGCCTCGGGTGGATGAAGAGGGAAATGATTGCTGGATTGAGCTTCGCGCGAGATCAAGCACGCGAGGCTGAACCCACCAACCACAGGGATCGGATCGACGAACGAAGGGGAGTATGTAGATATCTAGGTACCTACCATGTAGAACTGATAAGTTAGATGAACTTTGGAGATGGCTGACAGAGAGAGCGCTGGAAGACGGATGGCGGCTTTGCACTGGCTCGTTCCCATAGTCAGGAATCCTTGTGCCCCATCCGGGAATATGGGTTTGTCTATCTATATCCCCCTCTTTATTTCTGCGGCCGAAGCGAAGTTATAAGTGCAAAGGAGGCTCAAGGAGCTAGTACTACTAGTTAGGGTCAAGCACGAATGGTCAATTCAGCTCGCGAACCGTTTGCAAGGGAGTGCAAACTTGCCAAGATATCACGTGGTAGCACGGGACCAGGTCGGCTTTAATCCCACCCAGGCCTGCTCGGTGCCTTGAATACATTGTTTCTACGCAGTATATAATACCAGGGTCGGTTTCGGGCAGCCCCTAGCTTCAATACTTGGTCATATGCTCTTTAGCTAATATATTCCCATGTTGTGGTACAAGATGCTCATGAGGAGTCCTATGATGGCGAGCACTTTGGGTGCAAACCCCACAAACATGCCCAGGATTAGCTCCCCTCACTCCATTTCTTATCTCTGTCCGCTCGTGGTCAGCTTCCCATTCGACGCTGTAATCATCTTCAGCAGCTTTACCATCTCAGGCATTTTCTTCCCCCTCTCCTCTATCATTCTGGTCGTTCTCTTCCGTTGGGACGCCACGACTGGCTCGAATCCATCGTGTCTGACGCCTAGCACGGCACTATACCCGCTGACGCGGGTCCTCGGTGGCCATGACATCTTCCCTCAAACGCGTTGTTTGCATGGCAAGTCCTAGCTCAAAGACCAGGGCAACGCTCGACTCGGCAAGATGGACAAGATGAGTAGTGGGTAGCTGAGCAGCCTGGAGAGGTATATCTTGTAGAGCTCTGCATCCTGGTTCCTGCACTACTCTCTTCCAGTCTGCAGCATCTTCATCATCTTTCCCCAAACTCGTTTGCATTTCCCTCGATCTCGTGCAATCACGCCCCAATAGCTTATCGCCTCTGTCTTTGCGACCGCCGCGGAAGGGCCTTTTAAGCCAGCAATAAAGGTAAGTTTGAAGAGTCCTCTGGCAAGAGCCGGTTCACCCGCCCTTCGGTCTCGCTCTTTTCAAGAATCTTCAAGAATCTAACAATGGGCACCTCACTCAGCAAACTCACCTCTAAATTCAAACCCTCAAAACAAGCACCACCAGAAAAGATGGGTTCTACACCAGCTTTCAAGCACTTTTCCAAAGTCCAGTCTGAATTCAAGCCTCCGTTAATTGCCAATGAGAACGCATTCCTCGGAGACGTCGCCAGCAGTGAGAGCAACGATCCAGAGAAGCCCATCAGCTGTGGCATCTACAGACTCGAGAAAGGCACTCCCCTCGTCTACACTTATACCTACCACGAGATGAAGATCATTTTGGAGGGCGAATTTGATATCAGCGACGAGACTGGCCAATCTGTTCACGTGAGCATCCACACCGGATAATCTTGAGACTTGAGCGATCACGACTGACCTTTGAATTTTAGGCCGTTGCTGGTGATGTTTTCTACTTCCCCAAGGGCAGTGTCATCACCTTCAAGACCAACACCTACGGTTTGGCCTTCTACACTGGCCAGCGCAAGGAGGGTGCTGCGTAAATAAAACCTGGACGAAAGCCGACCTAAAAAAAAAAAAAAAAGCACGTCAATCTGGGACCTTCGGAATTTAAATATTTTTCATGACTAAGGAATGCCTTGCAGACCCATGCTGCTGTCAAGAGTACAGTTCATCTATGCACTCTTTGCTTGTTGACTCTGATGCCGACTCCGTGACCTGGAGAAAAGCATGCGTCCCAATAATATCAGCAAGATAATGATGCCAGTGGTTGCCCAGTGGTGAAGTCCTCGGCCTGTGGGGACATCATCTAGTCACAACGCCTCATTAGGCGGTAAACACTGCTTGATGAACTCTTCCAAGTCGTCAATTTCTTTCATGTCCGCTGAATGAGGCAGCCCCCTGCGCTGTCGTCAGTACATTGATTTCCCACGCGGACCCTCGCAGGATAGAGAAAGTACTCACGGATACGTCTTGAACTCGACTTTATGCCCCAGTTCCTTCCTCAAGAACTCGGCCGACTGCTGTCCCCATTGGCACTTGACAAGTTCGTCCGCGTCGCCGTGACCCAGGAAAAAAGGCGTGTCTTTGTTCGCGCCGTTCGCCTCTTTCGCGAATTCCTTGATCTTATCCCCGAGCACCAAGTAGCAGCTCAATCCAAAAACCCCGCCCAGTTTGTGCGATGTCGTGGCGCCTGTGAAAATAGACATTGCTCCGCCTTGGGAAAAACCGCCTAGGATTATGCGATGGGAGGGTAGACCGGCGTCCATCTCGTCGTTGATGAGTTTGGTGAAGGTTGCACGGGAGCGCAGGATGCCCGCTTCATCGTGGGCTTGCCTGAGTTCGGAGAAGTCGGTCTGTCGTTGTGTAACATGGTCCTGAATCAGCTTTCCGGAGCACAGGAGCAGCGAAGGGGCAGGGGTGCAAACTTCATCGCGGCGCCTTACGATATCGTACCATCCAGGCATGCGCATGCCCAAGTTCTACTGCAGCTGTTAGCAACGCCGATCCCGCATCGCCTTTGCGGAGTATGCAGAGTATGCCTCTGGCCCATACCACGGTAATGGGAATGCTCGGTGCATTGGGAAAGACGAACTTGACGTCCTCAAACTTTCCCCGCCTTCGCCAGGTTTCTGCCAGTGATACCCTGGCTGCAATGAGTATTCTGATCACTTCGAGGCACCAGTTGCTGTTCATGATGTACTCACCACCCTGCGCCACTGTATTTCTCCAGAATTAGCCAAAAATCAAGACTTTGCTGCACAAACCTAGGCTGCGCACTGACCTGTCCCCCAGTCCATGCGCCATAATCACGGTCGCGGTATGTTTCTTGAGAGCGGGGACGATCAACGCTTGTTTTCCGGCCATCTTTGCGCAGACCAGTCAGTATCTACAGAGAGTGAAGAAAAAGGACAAAAGGGAAGAAGAGAGAAGGGAGACAAGTAGCTCGCTGGTAGCAAACAAGTCTGCGGGTGGACATTCACAGCATTGGAATCAGGCTCCGCAGCCGAGGTTGTGCCGGAGGCCGCTGAAAACATCCCCGATATGCAAGTACTCAGCATTTGTCTGCGGCACACGTGATCCTCTTTTACTCCCCCGAGGTCCCTTGGTCCCAAGCGGCTGCAAAATCGCCAAGACTGTCACAAAGGGCACAAATCCCCAGAAGTTCGAACGACCTTCAATCATCCCGCAAATCAAAGCTCAATTCACTTTTCTGTCTCCCATCTCCATCCATCCTTGTACAGCTAGGACGGAAATCCAAGCCCTGTCTTGAGATTTCCTGAGCCTCTTCCACTTCCACCCTCCCTTTGTCGCCGTGGTCACTTTCCTGGGTCGTAACTTTTAAGCGTTCGGCGAAAAGGTCTCTCAGCCGAGCAATTGAATTTGTTGTGCTTGCGCCCTCTAGCCCTGACCGATCTGAGCTGAGGGAAGCTCAGCGGCATTCATTCACCTGCAACCATGGATCAGGAGAAGCTCAAGCGCATGCAGGCGCAGGTGCGAATCGGTACGTTTGTCCCAATATCTACAACAATACCATCCTTTGTGTGTCCCTCGCTGATAATGAAACAGGGTATGTGCCTTGAATTTTCCCTGTCATATTCCCCTCTAGTCTCCGAAGCCAGACTCCCAAAGATCGTATCAAACACCCAGATCCTGTCGTCTAACTCCCTGATTCCTTGATATAGAGGCAAAGGCACACCACGTCGTAAAACCAAGAAGGTGCACAAGACTTCCGGGACCGATGACAAGAAACTCCAGACGACGCTTAAAAAGATGAATGTGCAGCCCATTCAGGCGATCGAGGAGGTCAACATGTTCAAGGAAGACGGCAATGTGATACATTTTGCCGCGCCCAAGGGTACGTTTCTTTCCGGCAATAGTTCCCTTAAAGCAAGAGGAGCGTATTGAGGTTTACGTCCAAGATGAACTTATAAGCTGACCCGTCATTTCCCTTTTGTGCCATAGTCCACGCCTCTGTCCCCTCCAACACATTCGCCATCTACGGCAACGGCGAAGACAAGGAACTCACCGAACTCGTCCCGGGAATCCTAAACCAACTCGGCCCCGACAGCCTCGCCTCCTTACGTCGCCTGGCCGAGTCATACCAGAGTTTACAGAAGAAAGAAGGCGAAAAGGGCGAAGGGAAAAAGGAAGGCGAGGACGACGATGACGACGACGAGATCCCTGATCTGGTCGAAGGCGAGAACTTCGAGGGCAAAGTCGAGTAGTAGATGAAATCCAATCCAAGTTGTGTATGCGAGTGAGGTGGTGTGACCACGTGTAAAAAGGCCGTTAGGGGAGGGGGAAAAGGGAAAAAAAAGTGAACATGCATCATCAATCGCGCCTTTACGCAACCAGGAGGGTGCGGGAGAAAGGAAGGATCATCTCCTGGCGAAAATGCATATGAGTGGGAGGGAACATTGTTACATGGTGCAAACATCACTAATGCAGCAAGAACCGACCCAGCGAAAAACCGTGCCCAATAGAAGCCGGCTGACAACAGAGGCCATCTTGGAGCCCCCGTGTTCCTTCTCCCTTCTCCCTGATGTTTTGTACAAGTTGTCCCCAAGTCGTGTCTGCGTTGAAACTGATTATCGGCGTACAATACTGTCCTCAATCGTCCTTCAACCCACAGAAATCCGTCCCAAACCACCTATCTACACCGTGCCAGAAGCTCCAGTACCAGCCATTAGCTGGATCCCAGCTTCCATCATCCTTGAGCAGTGGACCTTCTCCTATAACATCACGTCTTCCCGTCGCTCCTTGCTTCGTGCTACCCATGAAATACGACACAATAGGAATACTCCTAAGAACTCTCTCCACAAAAGTCGGTTGTGGAGGAAGAGCTTCCGATATCGGTCGTAGAACAACTTTCTTCACGTTCTTAATGTGCGTCATGTATTCTGATTCCAAGGTGTGGCCTGTCTCGCTTGGTAGTTGAGGGACGGAGCGCGAGCGAAGACCATTAGACGACGACGGCTGAGGAGGAGCCAAGTCTGTGGCGGTGGCCGTTGCTGACGAGGCAGTTGCGGACTCGATGGAAAGTTGTTCATCTTCATGGCTCAAAGGCTGGCCGTATTGCATGTCAGGCATTGTATGGGATCGAGGCAGAGTCTGTAGGGCCCGCTCGAAGCCTGCAATGGCCGACTGTTTGCCTGAGAGCGTACGGGAAGATTGTGACGAGGGTAACGTCCGCGCTCTTCGACCGTCATCCGGCTGTCGCTGCGGCTGTGGCTGTTGAAGGTCTGACCTGGGTGATCCGATGGCAGGACCTTTGGGTAAGGGAACATCTGCTGCAGGGCCTTTTCCGTGCCACATCTCGCAATGGACCATGTATCCATCGATGTCGATTGGACTATAGAAACATGCTCTCTCTGCAGCCTGATAGGAGTCGAATGTGACCTTGATCCAGTGATTTCCGCCACAATATATCCTGCTCTTTCTAATTGCTTCGCGGCTCAGATTCTGATGGACCACCACAGAACCCCCTGAGAGGCCGAGCGGCGAGTTAGAGGATAGATAGAGATTGGGATCTTCTCGTGGGTAATCTTCGCAAATAATACCGGGGGAAACGATCTTTTCAAATTTGGACAAGACCTTCCATTCCGATTGCTTGCCAGCGTAGCCGTAAAGTAAACATTCCGTGGGTACGGCTTCCGGTTGGATGGGTCGTTCTGTCGCCGCTGCTTCGCCTGAAGCGGTCGGGGGAGATGGCAGCGCTGTCTTCCTCTCTTCCTCTTTCGCCTGTTCCTTTGCAAACAACCTCCCAAATTCAGCGACTGCAGTATTTTCCTTTTGTCGAACAGGTGTAGTGCCTGTTCTTGCACGCGGCGTTCGCGACGCTGTGGATCTTATGCTTCGATTGCGACCGAAAGGTCCGCTCTCTTCGGGCAGTTGTCTGGCATTTCTGGTGGAGCTGTTTGAAGCACGTTAAAATGATATTCTTCGGCAGGAAGATCCAGGAGATGGGAGGATGCAGGTCCGCCATTAATACTCACTCTGCGTAACGATATCCCCAGGGCAGTGTCTCGCCTCTTGGATCTCTTGCTCGCTCTTCGGGCAGGACCGAATGGATCTCCATCGTTCAAGTTACCGTCTAGACGTTTGGTGCTATTGAGCAAATGCGCTGCTTGGTCGTGCTCTGGTGGCGATGAACATGGGAGAACGTGCAAAGCTAAAAAATGAAGCAGAATTGGCAGTATACAAACCGCTCTTATGGACGTGCACAACAAAAAGTGGTGACAGCGGATGTCATCCCCCATGGGAGAAGCCAGAGCGAATAATTTATTGTTTACCCTTGTCTCCGCAGGTTCTGTGGAGTCTGAGACAGCCGACGCCCTGGCACGTGACACATACAGTGGAGTCACCTCCCAGAGGTCACACATCTCTTGAAGGTACACATCGTCGATCCCAAAGATGATTATCGTGGGATACTTCTTCAGCTATATATTGTATCGAGGGATTCCTAGAGCCAATCTTGTAATGGAGCTACGTGCTCACGTGACAAGGCTGCTTCACTCTTCACCTTGCGGTTCTCGGTCTCTGCCGGTCTCTGCCGATTTCTCTTACGAGACAACCACCTTCTGCACGTTCTGTTTGCTCTTCTCCAGTTGCTCTTCATGCTTGGCTTGCAGATCCTTGATCTTCGTCTCGTGCAATTTGCTCGCGTCCATGCCCACAGCCTTCATCCAATCTGGATCAATGGCCTCAGGATTCAAATATGGCGACACATCCTCTTTGTTGACCAAGGCCTGAACAGTGCCCATACCCAAGAACGCCCACATGTTCTTCTTGGCTGGTCCAAGATATTCGATTTCGAAGTCCTCATAGCGAGGTGTTTTGATGGCTTCTATGTAATGCAAAGAGGAGCCAGGCCAAACAGCATTCACACGACCTGTCTCATTATTCTTGTACCTAATGAGAAGTCAGTCAGCATCCATCTCAGCTCGGTCTGCCTATAGTAGGGAGCAACAGAAAAGGTCTACGAACCATGATCGACATTCTTCGACCCAAACAGTATGTCTGACCCATTCCTGGCAATGTTCATTGAACGCATCCGTGACATCCTGCTTTGGTGTGATGCTGCAAATGTACTCGGACTGGAGCTTCTTGATCATCTGCAGGGCATAGTACGAGACGTACATCAGCGGGCCCATGACGCTGCCATTCTCCACGGGCCAGTTAGGTCCAATGAAAGTCAAAAAGTTGGGAAATTCGGGAATCGCGAGGCCAAGGTAGCCCTCGGGGCAGAGCTTCCATTTATCGGCCAGCTCGACTCCGTTCTGGCCGACGATTGGGAAGCGAGGACGGTATGACACGTCAAAACCGGTGGCACAAACGATTGTGTCGACTTCGCGGTGGATGCCATCGCCACCGATAACTCCTGTTTCGTCCTTTTTACGGTTAGCGCCTGATTGTCGCGTCCCGAATGACAGGTTGAGGGAGGATTGCGGCAATAACGCCATGCAGGGCTCTTCCGGGGACTCACAATCTTTTCGACGGGCGTGAAGTGGACGTCGACATTGGGTTTTTGAATGGCCCTGGAGAGTTTGTAAGATTGAGAGAATGTCAAAATGATAAGCTTGAAACTTACTCCATATACGGATCACCAGGAGTAATTCTGCGACAGCCAATGCCGAAAGTCGGGGTGAAGCCTTTGAGTAATCTCTCATCCTTAATCATCTCGGCCATACGAGCCTTCAAAGCGGCCTGTCCCTCTTCTTGGGCTTTCGAGTTCTTGTAGAAGGAACCCCATAGTCCATTAACTTGGTCCTCGATGGATTTAGCATGCTCCGTGATTTTGTACGGATCACGGAACTCCTGTTTCTGCTCGTCCGTGTATTCATGATTTGCACCGAAGTTATTCGCAATTTGCACGAACCAGACACCTAAATACTAGGAGTTAGAGCTCCATTTCCAACTACAGGATCGACAACGAAGTCATAGGGTGGGAGAGGAGCGCATTCACTATAGTATCGTCTAAAACGTACCTGTGCGGACGAAAACATCGATATGTTTGGCATGTGGCTGCATAGTTGGTACTGTCTGAATACTGGAGGCCTGTTTGAATGATTGAGGTCAGAATGCCCCATAGAAAGAAGAGACAGTGGAATCTTACTCCAGACCCGATGACAGCGACACGATCCTTCTTCCATTCTTCGGCCTGGTAATCCTTGGGCCATCGAGCCGTATGCATGATCTTCCCCTTGAACTTCTCCATGCCTTCAATGTTGGGCCATTTGAAGTTGTTCAGAATGCCGGTGCCATGGAGAAGCATGTGGCACCTATCTTCGAAGAGACGTGTGCTTCCATCAGGATTCGTCTGCTTGAGTTTCACAAGCCATTCGCCCGTCTCCTGTTGCCAATAGCATCCGATGACCTCGGTGTTGAAGGTCATGTATTTTCTTAGACCCCATACTTCGCAGACCTTATCGAGATATTTCCAGATATCGGGTGAGTAGGAAAAGAAACGAGGCCAGTCGGGCTGTGAATTTAGAGGTAAGACTCAGTCGTAAAGGCCAACTAGATCTAGGGGGTTTCACAACTCACATTGAGAGCAAAAGGATAGGTGTATGCATGACTCGGAATATCACATGCGCAGCCTGTTTTTGCTAGATCAGTAATTGAAACAAGCAACGCAAGCCTGATGCGATAGTGGTATGGGCCAAATCGATACGGTGTCTTCCACTCGGAGAAACACCCACTCGGTCTAGCAATACCAGCCATGAGGGACACTCGACCATCAATGGAACATATTAAACATACCTGGGTATCGGTTTTCCAGCCAAGTGCCTCCAATATCAGGATTCTTCTCATAAATCACATGTTCTACGTTCTGCAGAAATTTTTGTATGTGATAAGCATTCATAATTCCGGTGACACCAGCACCGATCGACAAGACACGGATCTTCCTGGTGTAGGGTCCATGCAATACGATATCTGCAGTACCACAGTTAGCCGAATGTTCTTTGAAGTCGTAAAGCGTCCGAGATGTTTGGCTGGCGTAAGGGCACGAAGGAGTATTGCGGATGGCCGAACTTTCAGGCGGGAAGTGTCCGCGATGCAGAAGGTGGCATTGGCTGGCAGAATGCTTCGGTGCATTGTTGATCCTCATGAATGCGTCTCCAATGTAAGCAAACAAGCGGTAAAGTTCCAGGCAGGTAATCGTCTTGAGATCTAAGTCGTATCGCCGATGGATGGTGATCCAGACAAATTTGAGATCGGTGGCAATGTTGAAAAAGGTGGATTTGACCCAAGAGCGTGTTGCTCCTTCGGAAATAACCCAAAAAGGATGGACGGCCGCTTCCTGTCTATGGCTAGGCCTTTGTAGAAGGCGGTGAAAAATGATGCAGACTTTGACTGATCCGTGCAGACAAGAAGACTAGTATCCCTGGAGAGTGCTGTCGGTCTGGGAGGTACCGCCCCTGATGCATCGTCCGAGCAAGGACGACAATTTCTCACCTCCCCGTTTGCGGCAAGTCGAAGACGATGTGGATTGATGCAAGAACAAGGAGAAAGGCCAACTTACCAGGGATTTCATACTCCTCCCGCGGCACCCCATTGTTGGCATAACCTTCAGTGGCCCAGTTGGCCATGGTATTGATATCAGGAGCCATTTGAACAACAGCCTTCCAAGGTCGTTCAGCAAAGGGAAGCAGTGACGAACGGGAGGGCAGGTGTTGGGCCGGTGGCAATGGTATATATGAATCACTCTTGGTTCAGCAAACGGCCGAATGGCTGTTGCTTCAAAGCTAGCTTCTCACGCAAGCAGCGGGCGTGTTGGCAACTTATAATCAAAGACGAATCCAACCCACGATGGTGAAAGAGCGGAGGGTGGTATGAGTTCTGCGAAAGTCTATGTAAGATGCTTCAAAGTGCCTTGTGTCCGCCTCCCCTTTTATGCCATCGGACCGCGGTCATGGACTTAGTGTAGCAGCGTAACAATGTGGGCATCAGGCCCACGTCGCTCGAAACGTACTCGAGGCCCAATCATCACTACCAAACGAGGAGGCAAACCCATCAAAGTGAACCTTTGAAAAGCCAGAGAGAGCACTAGAGTCCTTGGCTTGAAGTCAGTAAAGGCTCTGGTTTGTAAGGCCCATGTGGGGAATGCGGGGACATGGTGGTGGCAGAGTCCTCGGTCGAACTCTGGCCACATGGAAGCGACATTTGGTCCGAGGTTCAAGAGGTTGTAACAGAGCCGTGGTCTGTCGCGTTGGCTCTGTCGACTCGTATATCAGATGATCCAGTCCCAAGATCGCTTTTGCTCTCCCAGTTCTGATGGAGGAGATGATGCGCAGGATCGTCGAAACCCTCACGTTATGGTGTGCACCAATACTGACTCCGCAATATCTGACTCGATATGCCTCGTCTCCAGGTGATCAGTATGTCCCATGCAGAGGCAGATCTCGGGAACTGCGACCCACGGCCAAGGTGAACAGACCGTCAGGCATCACCCAATTCTGTTGGACCACAGACCAGTAGCTGAGATCCTTTCGTGTCAGGGTGAGGTTGACAACTTGTTCTGAACCTGCCTCGAGCTCGATCTTCGTGAAGTTGCGCAACACTCTTACCGGCGTTTCGATGATTTCATTGGTGGATGGTTCCATTATCGCTCCAGGGAACGACACATACAGTTGAACGACAGACTTCCCCTTGCGATGCCCTGTGTTTGTAACGCGCACTTGAACCCTGACATACTCTTCAAACAGCGCGGGATTGCCGCCTTCGCCGCCTCCAGCAGCACTGGGCTCTTGAACAATTTCGTATCCGTCAGGATAGGGATACCTTCCTTTCTTTACTTTGTCCGCTTTAGATACGTACGGATAAACAAACTTCCGAAGTTTTTTGAATGTGCTTGGAATGAGCGCACTTTCGACAGGGGGTATGGTCTCATCAAACCTCGGCGGTGTGAGCGTCGAAGGCCGTGCAGAGGGCAGAGGCGATTTTGATTTCAGGCTCGTAATAACCAGGTCAGAGAAATCGAATGTGGTAAACGACAGCCCGTGACCGAATGGATATCGTGGCTTAATGTCGGCCTTGTCAAAATGACGATAATCGATGAACAGACCTTCCTTGAAATCCACCTGAGGGATAATGGCGTTGGGATAATAAAGCACTGGAGCACCTGGGCCATAGTCTTCAAGAGACCTGCCGACCGTGTATGGTAGCCGTCCGGAAGCATCGGTCCGGCCGAACAGGACGTCAGCCAGGGCATTTCCGCTTTCCTGACCAGGCAAGTTCGCAAAGACAATGGCCTTGACGGACTCCAAATCGGCGAAATCTTCGAGGATGACAGGACCAACAGAATGGATAATGACCACAACAGGACCGCCACATTCGTCGGCCACTGTGCGGATCAACCGACCAGCGCCCTTTTGAATTTCCAGGTCATTTCTGTCCGCACGCTGACTATGCCAGATGCGATGACCTTCGCCGGCGTCTGCATTACCAAAGACCAGGCACAGGTGTTGTTCACGGAGGACCTTCCTCAAGCTGGAAGACACCTTGTTGGTAAGAGAGCTGGTTATTTCGACAACAGACTTGTCAAAGCTCGAGTTCAGGGCCGAAAGCGGGTCGACAAGATAAGTAAAATCAGTCGCACCTGAACCCCAGCCCACAGCGAGCGTGCCTTGGTTGCAAGCTCGATCTTCGCAGTAATTGGGACCTTTCCCAGGGCCGGCGTCCTCCCCAAGAACGGCGACTCGCTTGGGAGTGCCGGGCCCCAATTCGGAAAGTGCAGGGCTCAACGGCAAGATTGAATCTTCATTCTTCAGCAGGACGATACCCTCGCTGGCCACTTCTCGGGCCAACTGTCGGCTTTGGTCGTTCTCAGTCTCAACATACTTGTTGACGAGGACTTTGTCTTGTTTGCTGCTGCTGCCGGGATTTGGATAGCCATATTCGTCGGTGGTCCATGAGGAAAAGTTGGGCCCCTCAGAGGACCAGGAGTCTTGTCCCAGTTGATACCATGCAGCAACTATCCGTGTGACCATATCGTTGAGCCTGGTTATGGGAAGCGAGCCATTGAGCACTGCGATGGTGAGCTGCTCACCAAAAAGGGATCTTCCATCCTGCCAATACAGTCCGTCACCTGGCATGGACATATCGAGGCCGGCAAGAGCGCTGGCAATACCACTGCGTTGCGCCAACCAGTCCGACTGGACGAAGCCTTGGAAACCGAGTTCATCCTTCAAAATGCCATTCATTAACTTACTGTTCGCACAAGCATAAGAATTGTTGACCATCTGGTATGAACACATAATGCTGGCCACTCCGGCTCTTACGCTCTCAGCAAATGGCCAAGCGTAGACTTCGTGCAGAGTGCGATCATCGATGTTGGAAGAAAGAGCCTCTGGGAGACCCCATTCCAGGCCTCGACGGAAATGCTCTTGCTCGTTGCCGATATAGTGTTTTGCAGTTGCCATGACACCCTGTGATTGGATGCCTTGAATGGTCTCGTATGCTGCTACGCCTTGCACAACTGGGTCGCTGCCAAAGCCTTCCCAATCTCTACCACCAGCCGGGTTTCGACCCAGCGGTCCCATTGCTGGCCCAAGAATGACGTTGACGCCCTTGAGCCTAGCCTGACGTGCATGAGCAGCACCGCGGCGACGCATCAGATCTCGGTTCCAGCTGGCGCCCACCGTGATCCCAGCAGGGAACGAAGTAGCATGATCTGCGAATCGTATCCCCAAAGGCCCATCCTGAAGACAAAGACCCGGAAAACCGACGCTCAGTGCTGGGGCAGTATTGCCCACGCAAAAGCCCATTGCCCATCCTGTGCCCGTGGTGATGTTGACCTTCTCCACGAGGCTCATGCGTTCAACCAGTTTTCGAGCCTTGTCGTAGCTCTCTTGCCATGATGGCAATGTCCCGCCTCGCGGTGTCGGATACCACGGCGGAGACTGTCCATTGATTTGACCCTGAGTATAGAACCAATAGCCCCCGCCACCAATGACCGAGACAATGACTGCTAAGAGGAGGACTGACAAGGTGATGTATTGCTTGGTGAGTCTGCGGCCGGCGCAGAAGCGGCCGGCAACGGAATCGGAGTATTTTCGTCTTCTGGAGGACCTGTCATGGGCGGAGGAGCCTAGCAGAGCGACCTCGCTTGCTGAAGCGGCGTCGCCCGCAGGTGGACCAGGGCGGAAAGTGAAGGTCTGGGGTTGTTTGGGGTCGTCATCGGACCAGTTGCCTCCATCGAGTTCTACTTCAGTCGCATTGTCAAGAGGCTGATAGCGGGCTTGTCTAGGGGACATTGTTCGCATTCTTTCAGACTGCCAGAAGGGTTAGAAAGAGGCGATGGGCCAATCAATCGTGGACGGGATAGAGGCGGAACCAACAGCTAGCAACAATCAGGGGCATTGGACATTCCAGCGGGGCGACTGGTGGGCGACCTCGATACGCACCGCTTGCGATGGGCCGGCAATGGCCGAGGCAGTCGGAGCTCGATCGGGGACGCGGCACAGAGGCGATGCTAGGAATGGCAAGCGCAATAGGTCGGTAGCAGTCTGTGTGAGATGGAGAGTGAGGAGAGGATGATGTAAAATAGACGGCTGAAATAGATAGCTGCCGTACTAGTGAGTGAGTGAGTGAGGTTGTCCAAGAAAAAGTGGTTGAGAGTTGCTCGAGCTCTGATTTTATTTTATTCCTGCGCTCCCCCCCCCCGTCCCATCGTCTCTGCCCTTTTCCACTCTCTTCATTTTCTTTGGCTCCCCCTCAAGTCGGTGAGCAAATCAACCACAGCCTCACTAAGAACAGCATTGTTGTGGCCCGGAGAACACAGGCGTCTGTTGCTGTCACCTGCCCTTGGAGAGCATTGAGTGTTCGCTGGCTTGTCATCTCAACACCGACTCTACCGCTCACACCCCACTCACTCGACCATTGCCGCACTGCGCTCTTTCACCGACCTCGCGATTCCATCCGCCTTGACCTGACTGTGCTCGATCCACCTCTACCGAGCCATGCTGGTGTCCTCCGCCTTCAAAAGAGCTCCAGTGCGAAGGTTGGCTGCGGGTGCTTTAGCTGTCCGAGCACAAACACCATCCCCAGCGATTCGCTCAGCGCCCAGCTTGAGACTCCCTCGTCCTACGTCTGCCCTTGTCTCCTCCTTCTCAACTTCCGCGAAGATGGCTTCCTCGCAGCCCTCCAAAGCCCCTACTCAGGCTTACGATCCCGAGATCACCGACATCGCCTCCTACGTGCACAATTACAAGATTGACTCGGAACTTGCCCTCGATACCTCTCGCTACATTCTCCTGGACACTATCGGCTGTGGTCTGGAAGCCCTGCGCTTTCCTCAGTGCTCTGCTATCCTGGGCCCTATAGTCCCAGGTTCCAGCATTCCTAATGGAACTCGAGTCCCCGGAACGCCTTTTGAACTGGACCCGGTAAACGGTGCTTTCAATATTGGCGCTATGATCAGATGGTTGGATTACAATGACTGCTGGCTGGCTGCGGAATGGGGTCATCCTTCCGACAACCTTGGTGCTATTCTAGCGGTTGCTGACTGGATGGCCCGAACAAACAGAGCTGGTGGTAACGTGGGCAATGGCAAGATCCCAACCATCAGGGATGTTTTGGAAGGCATGAT